TTTTTTTTTTTTTTTTTTGGTGACAAAAGATTTATATTCTCATATGTCCGCCCGTCTGTCTGTCAATCAAATTTTAAAATATTTTTAAATTTCATAGACGACACGGGTAATTAGCATTCACGGTATTACTATTTTTGTTATTGTTTTCTTTCCCTGTCACAAAATGCTACAAATTAGAGACAAAAATTCTAAAAAAAAAATCAACAAATATTCACACGATTTGTGGAAATATCATACAACATTCTTAGCAAAACAATAGAAATGCTGCTGCTGTTGGCTTGGGTCCAAATTTATGAAATTAATATGATATTGTTATAGCTAGAATTACTATATATGTGTCACAATTTTTTTTTTAAATTTTATATATGAACGGTGTACCATAAGTGATTTAAGGCATAAATATATTAAGAAGAGAATAAAAAAAAACTAAAAATTGTTAATATACAAATTTGTAACATTTGCCACTATGTTGTTGACATTTTTATAGGGCTGGCATGGCGATGATGTGAATGCAACAATAGATTTATTTTGTAAACATATATTAAATAACGAAATATTGAAAGTAGTCAAGGAACAGTGGGCTAAATGGGATATAAAAAATCTACGCCTTTAGATGGGCTATACACATTTTAAATAATATTTAAAAAAATGCACGCCTATAAAATACACAATATTTTTAAAATATCCACGCCTTGAAATGGACTATAAAATATTCTAATAAAAATACCTGATTATAAATGGTCACTAAAAAATATTTAAAAAAAAACAACCCCCAGAAATGGGCAATACATTTTTTAAATCTTCGCGTATAGGTGGAAAATAAAAATATTTTTAAAAAAATCTGCCCCTATAATTGGACTATAACAAATATTTAAAAAAAATCTACATCTAAAATGGGCTATAAAAGTATATTTAAATAATCCAGAGGGCACTAAAAATATTTAAAAATCGGCTATAAACATTCAAAAAAAATATCAAAGCCTAGAAATGGGCAATAAAAAATTATTTTTGAAAAACCCACACCCATAAATAAACTATAAAACCAGTAAGAAAAGTTTAAAAGTCGGACGGGGCCGACTATATGATACCCTTCACCACTATGGGTAAATACAAGAGGCATATCATCTTTAGAGGACCTTGGAAATGGAATCGCGAGAAATAAAATGTGTGATTTACATAGATATTTGAATCTATAACAAGACCCCATAGACATATCATTCTGAAATCTATGAAATCATTCTGTCAATCGGGAAGACTTGCATTCTTTGGTGTACAATTTGTATAGAACCTAGCAAAATTATATAAACAAATCAGACGAAAATATATATGACAGATATAAATATATCTAAACCGATTTTCACGAAATATTCAATTTTTTGCAATCTGACACGATTTTCACGAAACTTGACACACAGCATTCTAGACTTAATTCGTCATCCCGAATTTCGTGCCAATCGGAAAATATATACGGGCTTTGCTGCATTATTTACATTAAATCGGGGAAAATATATATGTGAGCTATACTAAATCTAAACCGATTATCACGAAACTCAGCACACATCATTCTAGATTTAATGCAATATACTGTGCCAAACTTCGAGGAAATCGAAAGAGATATTGGTACTTTACCGATTTTCACGAAACTTAGCACACATCATTGTAGACTCCATTCAGTACGCTATGCAAAAATTTGGGGAAATCGAAAGACATATAGAGAATTTGGTGCACCATTTACCTAAAATCGGACGAAAATATATATGTGAGCTATATCTAAATCTGAACCGACTTTCCCAAAACTTAACACACATCATCCTGGACTTAATTCAATACGTTATGCTGAATTTTGTGCCAATCGGAAAATTAATAGGGACTTTGGTGCACCATTAACATTAAATCGAACGAAGTTATATATGGGAGCTATATCTAAATCTGAACCGATTTTCACGAAATTTAACACACATCTTTCTCGACTTTATTCAGTTCGCTATGCGAAATTTCTTGCAAATCGGAAGATATATAGGGACTTTGGTGCCTCATTTACTTTAAATTGGACGAAAATATATATGGGAGCTATATCTAAATCTGAACCGACTTTCTCGAAACTTGACACACATCTTTCTAGACTCAATTCAGTACACTATGCAAAATTTCGTGCAAATCGAAAGATATGTAGCGACTTTGGTGCACAATTTACCTAAATTCGGACGAAAATATATATGAGAGCTATATCTAAAACTTGGACCTAATTCAGTACTCTGTGCCAAATTTCGTGCAAATCGAAAGATATATAGAGACTTTGGTGCCCCATTTACTTTAAATTGGGCGAAAATATATATGGAAGCTATATCTAAATCTTACCCGATTTTCTCGAAACTTAACACACTTCACTCTTGACTTCATTCAGTAAGCTATGCCAACTTTCGTGTAAATCGAAGTATATATGGGCACTATTTCCCTAAAATCGGACGAAAAAAATATATGGGAGCTATATCTAAATCTGAACCAATTTTCCAGGAACTCACCACACATCGTTCTAGGCTTATACGGCATTTACATTAGAACTTTTTACCGGGTTAACCTACTTTATGAGGATTTATTTAGCATATATTCAAGGGAATTGAAAATTTAAACCCACTGGGTTAACCAAATCCGGTTAAATGTAAACGACCTTTTACTTCAGTACGCTATGCCAAATTCCGTGAAATCGAAAAATATATAGATACTTTGTTGCTCCATTTACCTTAAATCGGACAAAAATATATATAGGAGGTATATCTAAATCTGAACCGATTTTCCCAATTTCTATAGGGTTCGATCTTGGGCCAAGCAAATGAGCTGTGTCAAATTTCATCCAATTCGGATCCATCTGTCTGTCCGTCTGTTGTAATCACTCTAGCATCTAAACGAATTGAGATAGATCGCCAAAATTTTGCACAGAGGCGTCATTTGTCAGGCAGGCAGACAAATATCGGTCCACGTTTAGGTATAGCTCCCATATAAGGGTACCCCCAAAATTTCGGTATTTTGGGTTTCTTGAGCGCGTTTTTCAACCAAATTCGCTGAAATTTGGTACATTGAGTTCCTATTGGGTACCAAATTTCCCCACTAAAAATTATAAATATACGTCCACTTTTTCTGGTAGCGCCCATATAAGGGTACCCCCCAAATTTAGTTTTTGTGGGGTTTTGACCGAATTTTTTCACCGAATTGCCTGTAATTTTGTATTTTGAGTTATTAATAGGTAACAAATCTCTCTACAAAAAATTATATATATAGGTCCATTTTTACGGGTAGCCCATATAAGGGTACCCTCCAATTTTCGGTATTTTGGGGTTATTGTGCGCGGTTTTCAGCCGAATTCGCTGAAATTTGGTATTTTGTAGTCGTATATAATTGTTTGTGGATTTAGATATCGGTGATATTATAAAAACATTTTGGTTGTAAATGATTTAAATATCGGGTTTTAAAGATTCCGATATGGGGGATTTTTAGAGGTTTTTTAAGATTACAATTTTTTCAATGATTTAATGGGCAATAGGTTTTCGGTGGACTTAATATAGATAAGTAATTTATAAGTAATTTCACATAATGAAATTTGGATAACCTATCCTTAATGGGGCTCCAATTTCTTTAAGGAATTTAAAACTAAGTTTCGAACTTACCTGCTCATCCAATTATATTATGAGTTATGTTATTAACTTATATGAAAATTTTAAGTAAAATATTAGAGCGTGGCATTTGAAATTAATATTTTGCTGCTGCTGTTGCGTCGGCTGCATTGCTTTTACTGCTGCATACTTTTTGGCGTTGTTTTGGGGGGTGGTATTTCAGTTAAGCGCAGAGTGCAAAATAATAAACGTTAAGAACGGACTTTTGTTTTGACAAATAATTTTTTTTGGGCCAAAGCTTTTTTTCAACACTACTAAAGAAGGTTTTTGTTGGTTGTTATAAACTAAATTAGCAATTATTGATTAGGCGGTGTGTGTATGTGTGTAAAAAACAAATTCAATGTGTATAGAAAAATCAATTACAAAAAATTATATATGTTAAGGACACAAATAACACAAACAGCTTAAATATAAAAATTAATTAAATTAAAATTGTTTTCATATTAAAATACAAAATTTTCATATAAAAAATATTTCTGTAAAAATATAAAAATTATTATATAAAAAAATATATAAGCATTATTTGTAAAAAAGGGCGTAATGAAGCAATTTTGTGGTATTTTTGTTGTGTGTAAAAACAAGTAAGGGCATGCATATATTTGGATAAAAGTCTTACGGTGAAGTTTTTGTTGTTGTTTTTCTGTAAATTTTTGTTGTTGTGGGATTTTTATGATTTTGTTTTGGAAAAAGGTTTTTGTTTTTCTGTAAAAAGTTCATTTGGTATTTTTGTTGTTTTTTTATTTTTTTTTAAATTGCATACATTTGTAGTGGTTGTTTTTTGTTTTCTGTTTTAGTTTTTATTTAAAAAAAACAAAATGAACGAAAAATATGTTTAAAACACTATAACTAATTTGAACAAAAATGTAATTTATATATAGTTTATTTATTAAATTTAAACTGTTTGTGAAATTGTGCTTCGTTTCTTTGGTATTGAAATAATGTATTATTAAAAATTACATTTGGTTTTTTGTTGATGTTAATAAAACTATTAATATAAAAATAGTTTCAATATTTGTTCAATAATTGCTAATTTAATTCTTAATTAATTTGTTTTTTTTAAGGACCTTCTATATAAATATTTTTTTTGGGTTCTTTGGGAGGCAGTTACAAAATAATTCAAAGAAAGAAGTTACAGAGAGAGTATCAAAATATTATTTAAATACTCTAATTTTGTCTCATTTTCTGCCTTATTTGAAATTATTTTGCATCCGCTTCCCAAAAAAATCTTCAAACTAAGTTTTTAGGACTAGAATTTTAGCTTCAACTTTGGCTTGGCTTAAACACATTTTTTGTGGAGTAAGAATATTTGTTTGTTGTTATTTAAAAATAAAATTATTTCAATTGGGCAACTACCTTAATGGAGAAGCTACCATTTGGTATATCTTTACCACCAAATTTCACATTGATATCATAATCTCCAGGATCATTCAAGGCATAGAAGATATCAAAGAAGCCATCCTTTTCAATGACATCAATGTCCACGATTTCCCTAGGAAACAGACAAATTAAAAATAATAAATAATACAAATAAATGACAAATATTAAATAAAAATTTATTGAAACCGACGGAATCGAGTGAGATCTATTACTAGTACAGACGATAGTTTTACAACACTACTGATATCGAGTTTAACCTGTCCTGGATCTATATTGACAATTTACTACCATGACTATCATCTTCCGCTACATCAAAATTCTAAATTGCAGTTACGACCCTCAAAATGTCTAAAATCTGCTATCATGTCAAAAGATGAAAAATGTTCTACCAGAAGGCATTTTTCCCTCGAATAAAGCCAAATATCGAATTACAGTTCGTAAATATAGATTCGGTTCGAAAATCCGGTTGAAAATCTGCCTATGACCTTCAAAATATCTTAAAGCCGGATCTAGGTTCTATGTCAAATTACGTGGCTATATTTAAAATGTTCTGCAAAGAGGTATTTTATTCTCAATGGACCACTAGTGTCTAATTGTGACAGCATCGATTCGAAAATCCGGTTGAAAAATCCGTCTAGGATCTTCAAAATATCCTCAATCCGAACCTAGATCATATGTTAAATAACGGACATATGTTGAAAATGTTATGCAAAGAGGAATTTTATTCTCAGAAGACCCGTAATGACAAATTACATCAGCGTCGGTTCGAAAATCCGCCTATGACCTTCAAACTATATAAATTCCGGATCTACGGTTTTATGTGAATGAACGGAACGGACATTAAAAATGTTCTGCAAAGAGGCATTTTATCCTCAGAGAACTTGTAAGGAAATATTACGACAACATCGCATCGAAAGTCCGTCTAGGACCATTCAAATATCTAAATTTCGGATCTCAGTCCTAGATTTGAAAATTTACCGCTAAGAGGTATTTTGTCCTTAGAGAAAACGGAATGACAAATTACAACAGCATCGATATGAAAATCCGGTTCTAGATCCTTCATAGAACCTGAAATTGACTGGACCTAATATAGGGGTTCCTTGTCAAAACATGGACATATATTGATCTTTTTTTCGTCAAGAGGTCATTTATCCTCTGAGAACCCTAAATACCAAATCATAGCACCACAGGATGGAAATTGAGGTTGGGGCCTTCAAATTACATAAAAAGGGGACGGGGCTCTAAGTGGGAGAATATTTCATAACATGATCCTGTATTGAAAATACCTATAGGCTGGCATTTTATCCTCTGAGAACATGAACAGATCGAATTCGTTGGAAAGAAGTCATTTATCCTCTGAGAACCACATCACAGGACCACAGAATGGAAATGGTTGAGGCCTTCAAATTACATAAACAAAGGCCGGAGCATTTAAATGAGGGACTATTTCATAATAGGTCCTGCATTGAAAAATGTCTATGGGGAAGCATTTTATCCTCTGAGAGCATGAAAAAATCGACTTCGTTGGAAAAAAATAAGACCTAGTCTCTAACCTCATGTTGAACCATTACATGGGGGCTATGTCAAACGTTTACCTATACGATAAACCGAAATACCAAATGACGACACCCACTTCGGTGGGAAAATGCATTTAAGACCTTCAAATAACCTGAAATCGACTGGACCTATATATGGGGCCTATGACAAAACATGGATCTATATTGAATTGAATGTTGTTAGGACGTAATTTATCCTCTAGGAAACGTAAAAATGAAATCCCGGTGCCGTAGGATGGAAATTGTGCCTAGAGAGTCTTCACTTCTAGAGCTTTCAACATACCTAACATTGGAGGGGCCTTTTTTGGGTCTAATACGAACAACGAGGATTTGCATAGAAAATATTTCTTCAGGAAGGAGGTTTCTTATCATCTGAAAGTCTGAAATACCAAATCATTCACACTTGGTTTGGAAAAGGAGATTTTAAACTTTTAAAGCCTCACAAATTCGATGGCACCGCCAGATTGTAAAATATTATGGGGAAAGAATCAAAGAAAACCTTTACCCCCTTTCCTTTTTTAATGCAAATAAGTAATTTTTTCAAAGGGCCCCGTAATTTGTAATCTACACTGGTATTCAACACAAATTCCGTGCGTAGTACCCTTCCACGCGATTCCGTCCGCTTCAATTTACCAATTTCAACTTACTTTCCTGTCTTGGAGGCAATTTTACATGTAACAGCACCATCTCCCGCTTCACGAGCATCCACCGTCAAATGACTCTTACTGCCGGAAGGTTGAATCTTGGGGGCCTCTTCGACCAATTTACATTTTTTAGCTTCACCAGTTTGGAAGGCTTCCAATTTGAAGGGTGATCCTTCGATTTCTTGGCCACCATATTTAATGCTAACCATATAGGTGCCACATTCATCAGGGACAAACGACACCACATAGGTACCTTCATTGATTTCTTGGAGGCGGGGCTTAACCGCTTTACCCTTGGGATTTTTAATATCAACATCAATGTCAGCTTGGCCGGCCTTCTTGGTGTCAACTTCAAATTCAGCAGGACGGGAGGCAGGTGTCTTACGCTTATCATTGACGCCCTTGATTTTGACCTTGTGGGGTTCGGACTTGGGGAAGACGGTCATAACGAAGGGACTGAAAGGAAATGCGAAATAAAAAATTAATTTGGAAAATATCGTTTCGAATATTTTATTTCTGACTTACCTGCATGGCACTTCAGTATCGGCAAAGGTAATGGTACAGGTCAACACCGAACCCTCTTTGGGTGGTGAGTAGTGTACACAATAGATACCATCACCTTTCTCTTCGACTCTTAAATCTTCAATGGGTTTACCTTCGGAATTTTGTATCTTCACAGCAATACGTCCCGGACCGGCATCTTGTACATCAATAAAGAAGTGTGTGGGCACACCTTCACGTACCTCACCATGTTCAATGCCAGGACCATATACCTTTACTTTGGAGGGGTCGGATCTCTCTTCCACATACACAGTGAAGGGTGAGCCGGGTATGTGCTTATCGGCGAAACGGATTGAAATATCATATTCACCCACTTCGGTTGCCAAATAATCGACATCACAGCTACCATCACGATTATCGATGCAGGTCAGTTTAGCCTCAGAGGGACCTTCAATGGCCAGTGAGAGACCTCCCTTGCCGGCACCCTTTGTTTCTATGACAAATTTATTCTTTTCATTGACAAAACCTCTCTTGAGACCAGGGCCATAGGCCTTGCAGCGACTAGGGTCACAACCGCTCTTAACATTGACCACAAATGGTGAACCGGGTACAGGAATGTTATCGTACAGTAATTCAATTGTATGGCGACCTGCCTCGAATGGGGTGTACATTATACGGAAGACATCATTGGTGGGTCCGGGCAAGATTTCACTTGGCAACATTTGGCCCTTGGGATCGAAAACGGAGCAGGACAATTTCTTTGATTCGATGTTGGCACCGACTTTACTCATATCGACCATAAAATCGGTTTTCTCATTCATGATGACACCTGCAGGGGGAGGATAGAATATAATCATTATAAAAATTGAGGTCAGAATCGTAAAAAAATTAGGTTAGGTTTGAATGGGTAAAAAAATAACAACAACAACAAAAAGATTATGGATTTTAGAATGTAACTGAACGAGGGCATGCAATATGGTTTTTGGGTCTTGAAATTATACAACAACAAAAACAAAAAAGAAGCTTTGGCTGGGTTAATAGCAGAGCTGCCTGGCTGGCTGAGCGCGAATTTGCCTGAGGTTTTTCGAAACATAAATTAAAATAGGCCTTGGTTACATGCTTCAGATCAGGAGCTTGAATTATTTTCTTTGGATCTGGTAGTATTTGCTTGGCTTAGTATTTTATATTCAGATCGGTTTCCGATTGGATAATGGAATCCGGTTCGCAGCGTACAAAAAACAACAACAATTGAGGGTGACCGGATTTGCCATTTGTTTAACCTGGGGTTTGCTAACATGCTTGAGCACAGGTGCTTGTTATGGTCTTTGGTCCGGGTAGTATTTGCTTGGCTTGGCATTATGGCTTCATATCGGTTTCCGATTGGATAATGGAATCCGGCTTGCAGTGTAACACAACAAAAATCAACATCAAACGGGTGGGTGGATAGGCGATGCATCGCCATTTCTTAATAGCCTACCATGTGGCTGTATCCCTATACCACTAACTCGGGTATTGCTGAGATTCGGCAGCGGATAGATAATCGGTTGGAATGGTGATCCATTTATGTGGCGATCATTGAATGTTATGTTAACAGTATAGTCTCCGGCTTCGGTGGGCAGATAGGCCACATTACAGGTTCCATCCCCGTTGTCACGACAATTAATGGCTGCCTCACAGGGTCCCTCGACCGTGACACCCAATCCACCTTGGCCGGCTCCTCGCGTATCGATCATAAATTCAGCTGGTTGTCCCACCAGACCCTTCTCCAGGCCAGGGCCAAAGGCTCGAACCTTATTCGAATCACTGCCACTTAAACATTGTAATCGGAATGGTCGGGGGGTAATGGGTGTTCCGCCAAAACAAATACTTAGGAGATATTCTCCCAGCTGGGTTGGGGTGAAATTCACCAGGAATCCTTCGGCCGTTGGGATGACATGGGCCTTGACACGACTACCCGAGGGGCTGGTTATGGTTACAGCCAAATCGGCCTTGGGTAGGCCATGGGTAATAATACGAAACTGCTGGAGACTATTTAACGGAGCAGCTTTTTTGTTTTGATTTGGTAAATGAGGAAATGATGGACTTAAATTGTTTTTCTATACTTTAGAGCTAGACTTCGAGAACTTTCCGAGCAAAAGTTCCCTTACAAATTTTTTTGAGGTTATGTGTGTAAGAATATTTTTTGTGAGGTTATGTATGTGTGATAGTTTTTTGCGAGGTTTGGTGTGTATGAGGGTCTATACTTACTTGGTTCTAGGCCATCAACCTTGATTTTCGATACATCGATTTGTTGTTCAACCATTACTTTTTGTCCCAATGGTACGGGTTGTCCTCCATATGTCATGGTAGTGGTATAGGCTCCCTTAGTGGGTGGTATAACCTCAACGGAATAGGTTTGATCTTCATTATCGATAATACGACAGGGTATCTCCACCTTAGTTTCCTCGTGGACAATTTTCACCTTCAACTCGGCTTCGCCAGCATCACGGCAATCGACATTGAAATGTGTGGGAGCATTGGGATGGACTCCCGGTTGGAACCAGGGGCCAAAGGCCTGGACCTTATTGGCATCGACGGGTAGGCCCACATAGACACGGTGTGGTGAATTGGCCGAGGCCACACCACCAAAGTTAACTAGGGGAGAAAAACAAAAACAATATTAAAACGGAATTTTAGATTTTATATTATTCGGACTTACCCTCCACAGTATGTGGTGTACCCGACACGGGGGTGTATGTACACAATTTCGTACCATCTGGTTGATTTTTGACATCCACAGGCAATCTCTTGCCATAGATATCCTCCACAATTACATCCAAGGGTGCAGGGCCACCCTGGGTGGCATCCACAGTAAAACTGGTGGGCTCATTTATAGACACACCATTCTTTTCCAAACCCGGACCCCAGGCCTTAACCTTCTCAGGGTGGTAATCGGTCTTTGGCAGAATTTGTGTAATAAATGGCGATTTGGGTATATCCTCATTATCGCATAGAATGTGCACAGCATATTCACCCGGAGCTGTGGGATGATATTTGACCAAAGCGGAACCATCACCATTATCGTGACATTCAATTTCAGCCTGAGAAGGACCAGCTACTGTAAATCCTAAAGCACCAGTTTCACCATTGGTCTCTACCACAAAGGCAGCCGGGTAGCCGACAACACCGCCGACCAAACCAGGGCCAAAGGCTACAATATTGGAATCCTTCTTGGGGCCGACCTTAACCTCAAAGGGTGACTTATTTATTTCCTGGCCGGCAAATGTTACCACCGCAACATATCTACCCTCTTTGTTGGGGAAATAATGGCACTCATAGGTGTGGGCATCCAATTTGGTCATGGCCACATTTTCGTTCATGCCACCAGGGCCAACAATTCTCACCTCAGGCAAACCTTCACCAGCACCCTCGGTATAAATCTTGAAATCAGCATCATCGCCAACGCGCACACCATTGGGTTGTAAACCTCTACCAGAAGCTCTCACTCTCTTAGCATCGGACAAGGGGGCAATTTTCACCGGGAAGGGGCTATTAGGTATGGGTGTCCCCGCATAAAACACATTGACGGAATGCAAACCCTGCAGGGCCGAAACATATTCACAACGCCACACATCATTTTCCAATTGTCGAACCTTGGCAGCCACCGAGGTCTTATGATTGGCCGGGTCAATGATAATAACCTCAGGTACACCACGACCAGCATCGTGTGTCAAGATGTCAAAGAATGTGGGTTTGCTAATCACCACACCACTGGGTTGTATACCAGGACCGGTAACCTTTACCTTGGAAGCATCGCCGGCATGACCCTCAACCTTAACGGGGAAGGGAGACTTGGGAATATCACGGCCGGAGAATTTCACAATCACCTTGTGTTCACCCTCCATTTTGGGGATATACGAAATGGAATAGGTCAAATTCTTGTCATTGTTGAAACGGACATCGGCCTTTTCGACCAAACCATCGGGAGAGATAATTTCAACATCAACTTGGCCTGAAAAATATCGAAATTAATTATTTCTTTTATAAACAATTGAAAAATTATTTTTGACCTACCTTTGCCAGCTGAGAAAGTTTCTACCGTGAAATTGGCTGGAGCACCAACAACTGGACCAATGGGTTCAATACCAGGACCATAAGCACGTACTCTACGATAATCAAAATGAATTTGTATTAATATTGAAATTTGAAATAAAAAGATTTTGTTTTTTTTATAATAAACAATAAAGCTTTCTACAGTGTTAGAATATTGGTGCCAGGATAATTTTCAAGTATTAGTTAGACAAAATATTGAACAAGGCTTGGAAATTGAAAACAGGGTTTAAAAACGCAATTTAAATTTTAAAGTGCCACAATTCACAGCAAAGTATTAAAGGAAGCGCAATATTCAGTAAGGCATTCGAAAAAAGTTCGAAATTCAAGTATTTGTAATAAAAATAAATTTTTCGAAATTTGAAAAAAGAAATAATTTCGAATTTATTTTTGCGCAAAATATTTAAAAATGTTGAATAAAGTGCATTATCGAAAATAATTCCAAAATATAGAATTAAAAAAAAACTAAAAATTCTTAACCAGAAAATTTTGAGAAAAAAAACTAAAAATTCGAAAATAATAAAAATCCAGTATAAATAAGTTTCAGTATATGAAGTTTTTATTGGCTTTCAAGCTAAGCGAGGCCGATTTGTGTACTCACTAGGGATGTGGACAAATTGAAGCATAAGGTCTCTTAATATAATATTATTCCTAATTTTTTTAAGTTAGAAAATGTGATAAATATCGATGAACGGGATTAAATTTCTTGAAATTATGTTAAAAAATTTAACCTCAATTTTTTTTAAATAATTTTAAAACGTATTATTTTTTAATTCCATTATAGGAAAATAAAAAATATATTGCTATTAATAAATAAAAAATATATTGCTATTAATAATTAAAAAAAAATAATAACACCAAAAAATTATATGCGCCCAACGTGGGGCTCGAACCCACGACCCTGAGATTAAGAGTCTCATGCTCTACCGACTGAGCTAGCCGGGCAGTTGTTGGCGCTCTGGCTAAGTATACACAAAAGCCCAACATACACATGAGTAGCATCTACAAACACTAACAACAAATACAATTCTAATGGAAGATAAAAATAGAATAGAATGTCTTGGGATACAAGCAAATTCATTTCAATAATGTGTATTGATAGATTCCCCACTCTCTTAGAGAAAAAACTTTAAGATTTTTACGTTCAAAATGTATTATAAAAACTATTCACTGTTAACATAGAGCTTTTGTCGGAACTAGAACAACTTAAAGCTTTTTTGAACAGCATATTCAGAATTATTTTCAAATAAAGCTTTCTCGGAATACAGAAACAAAACTTTTTGTATTGAGAACGGAACTAATAGGAAATGTTGAACTCTATTAAATAAGTCCATTTGTATTTGTCTGTTACCAATGAAAGTTTTGCCAGAGTAGGCAAAAAAGAGCACACACACATACACGATGATACCATGAACATACCAACATTATGGATTGCGCCTTCTTCCCCCCTTGCAAAACCAATAACACAAAATTCAGCACATTTATAATAAATTACACACATATTTATATGAAATTATATTAACTGAGCACTTTTTTGCAATTTATATTATTTTTAACTTATTTCCATATCGTTTTTGTTAATTATTTGCGATTTTTTTATAGGAACACGGAATTCAACAACCGAACCGACTGAACTGAGCGAGAGAACTAAACCGAGTGCCATACTGATAAAATGACAGAGAGAAAGCAACCAAAAATGGCAGCCCTGTTGATGATATGTCAATGATCATCTGCAGGTGCCTCTTAACTATTGACGCATGTATATGAAAGGCAATTTGATTGAATAAACGTAATTTGCATGATTATATTATGTATAATAAATGTTTAGAGATTAAATAAATTCAGAAAAAAAACAAAAATAATAATTTATAATAAATTTTGGAGGATATAAATGCACATTAAAATATGTACATTGTAATTTAAAATAATAAACATTTTTTTTTTTTTATTTTGTTTTTTTTTTGTTATGTGCATTCGTCACAAAGTGACGACACATAGCAGTGGGAAATGTGTTGTAGTTGTCTGTAAATGCCTTGTTGACCACGAAGTCAGGCGCCAATGAAACGAACTTCTCATTGGGGTCGCATCGCTGGTAACGTAAGAACTTCGAATTGTCACAAGAGACATTTGGGTTTGAAAGGTTTTTTTTGTAAAGAAGCTATTAATAGCTTCTGGGGAGAATATCCCAACAAAAAACTAAGGGAACTGATGAGGATCAGTGGCGAGATCCGAAACTATAGTCTTCCCTGCCTTACCCCTCGGCGGACAATGCCATACATTCCCCACTAATAAATAGTTGTTTTTTATAAAAACAACAAACTGGGATTAAGCCTGACTATTTTGCAAAAACGAAATACAAATGGTATCCCAAATAACCCGCCATACACTACTGAAATAATAAACATTGTTTTTGGGCGCTATATCACCGATTTTTTTAAGAAGGTGGCCAAAAAGTTCTGATTTTTATTAACATATTTATCAATAAATCATGATAAATTTGTTAAAAATAGTTAATTAAATAAATTAATAGCAGCTCGTAAATTACAAAAAAAAAAAAACATTTTAAATAAAATTGAATGAATTTGTTATACTTCCAAATACGCATAGGTATTACAAAGATACTCATCACTGCTACGAATAATAGTCATAGTGAAAAGTCTATCTATTTTTGATGAATTTTGTTGACGCAACGTACAGTGTCTGAGAATTTAATTAAAACTGCAACCCTTAAAGTATATACATATATTCTTCACGAGAATAAAGTTCTATGTCGATTAGTCCTGGCCGTCCGTCCCTGTCTTTTGAAATTACGATATCGTAGATAGAGCTTTGAAATTTGGCACATACATTGTTATTACTTCTAGGATGTTTGGTATTGCTATATCGGTCCACGGTCTCCCATTCATTCACACAACATGGCCTAGCCACCGTAGTCGCTGCAGCTCAATACGACTGACTATGTCGATGTTCGCGTATAAATTGTAAAGCTCGTGGTTCATTCGACGACGATATTCACGGTCGACGCATATCGGCTCGTAGATCTTTCGAAGTATTTTTCATTCAAACACCCCAAGAGCTGTCAAGGTATATAAAATCTTTAACTACCTCGAAGCTGTAGTTCTCAAGTTCCACATTTGGTTCGAGTCTACTGGACGTCTTGCGTGTTTATACCATCAGCTTAGTCTCATCTCAATTTGTTCAAAGGTGGTTGTTACCGCTGGCAATGTTCGACCCATTATATCGATGTCATCGGCGTAGGCGAGTAAACTGGTGTTGTTTGGTGTACAGAGTGCCATTTCTGTTCACCTTTGTGTCTCGTATGACCTCGTTCGGTATTGAAGGGCTCCGATAGGTCTTTTCCGACTTTAACTGCTGACTTTGTGCCACTTAAAGTTATCCTGCATAGCCGTAATAATTTTGCAGGAATGCCGAACGTAGACATGTCTTTAAAAACCTTTGAACGGATTGGGCTGTCGAATGCGGCTTTATAGTCGACGAATTTTTTCCAGGATTTGGCGCAGATTGAAAATCTGGGCTATGGTGGATTTGCCAGGTCTGAAGCCGCATTGGTATGGTCCAATAATGTCATTGACCACTGGCTTCATTCGTTTACACAGCACACTGGATAGCACTTTATAAGCGATGGGAAGGACACTTATTCCTCTATAGTTGACAAATATCGTCTTGTCTCCTTTTTTGTGCACGGGACACAGGATGCTGAGGTTACAATCATTGGGCATGCATTCCTCTAGCCAAATTGTACTAATCAGCTGGTGCATGCTCCTGACCAGCATCTGACCACCAGTCTTGAATAGTTCAGCTGGTAACCCGTCGGCTCCTGTTCCTTTATTGTTCTTGACCCTATTAATTGATTTTATGACCTCATCTTGGCTATAACGGTAACCCCAAATATTCGATATTTTGAGTTTTGGGGCAAATTTTATCAACCTAATCAGCTGTTTTTTGATATTTTTTATTATAAAAATTGGTCTCCAGTTTAGGCTAATCCCCATATAACGCTATATCCCAAATTTCGGTACTTTGCGAAGATTGGGCTCGTGTTTCAATCAAATTGGCTATAATTATATATTTTTGATTCTCATTGAGTAGAAAATGTCGCTATAAAAATGATTAATATTGGTCCAAGTTTTTCGATATTCTGGGAGCATCTTCACGTTTTTTTTTTCAATTGAAATTACACTAATTTGAGGTTTCTGACACCCCACGTGACAATCTTCGTATCAAAAATTATTAGTGTAGCGTTACGTTTTGGTAAAGCTCCCCAAATTACGGTACCTCCCCATTGATCAATATCGCCCTTTGTCATTATTTTGAAGGTTTTAGCGCCATTTTATCATAGTAGTGACTGTAATTTGCCATTCCTTGATATTGCAGGCAAAACATATTTTTTCGAAAAATTTTCCTAGATTTTATATAGGTTTTGTCCGATTTAAGGAAATTTGATGCACATAACTAAAAAGTTCCACATTTTAGTTGTTTTGTTTCATTATATTGTGGGAAAAATTTAATTTAAAACTAAGTCTTATAATAGTTTAAAAAATTGTCCTTTGGATATTTCTGATCTCAGTAACAGCAATGACAGTTTACATCAATAATTCTGTTTTTATCCTTATGTAATATAATTTTATCTCCTAATAAATAATGTCCGAAAAATGGTAATTTTCTTCAAAAAATATTTTTTATTTTGTTTACCGCCATTACTAACTAGCTAAACATTTATATCTTACTACATCGACAACAAATTCCATTTTATTAATATTCTCCTTTATAATTGTAATTTCCATTGCCATAATTCCCACAATTTAAACAAGTAGCATTTCCAGTCAAAACTCATTTAGATTTCATCTCCTTCATGTAAACACAACTCCCCATTAATCACTTCCACATACGTTAAACGCTAAGATGCACCTGTACAGATGTGATCAATGAGAACAATGATAAAAGTCAAATAATAACGTAACTCTTTACTCTCAATTGTCTCTCCTAACTGCTAGAAATTTGCGACTCCCACTTTAGATCTTTCGTCGTGTTAAAACTGTTCGGTTGTGTCGTGCCGTGTCTCCGTCGTAATATTGTCAATAAATCAAGAAAAAATATAAATTTGTGTAAAAAAGTGTTTAAATGTCAAAGAAAAATATATTCTGTGTGTGTCTATCAATAAAATTCATAAAGAAAATTAAGTAAAAAGGCAATAAAATCTATTTATTAAATCCATTTGTTTGCTCTGTTCACAACGAAATGCAGCAGCAAGCGCAAGTGTATGTGTGTGTATCAAATCAAGTGCGTTCCCTTTGTTTTTGCAAAGCTCTCTAAAAAAGGCGCAAAAATATCAGTTTGTGTATGTGTTGCAATAAATGCTAAAGAGAAAAGCTTTATAATTTAAGCTTCATATAAAATGAATAAAAAATCCTTTTCTCAATTGGCGATGTGGTTGTTGTATTTGCAAAAGCTCTTTAATTTAAATCATTCAGTTAAATTTCGTTTATTTCCTTCGTTCAAAAAATGTGCCATGTTATCGATTCTGTTAAGAAGCTCTATGTTAAGATCAAAATAATCGCATTTCCGTTGTTGTGATTTGTTTTTTTTTGTTTGTGTTCACTAACACATTCGTGTGTTGCGTGTGTGCTTATAAGAATGTTTATGATGAGGATTAAAGAAAAAAAATCGCGCTCAGTAAAATGGCAAAAGAAGAAGAATTCTTTTATTTTTTTTTTTTTGAGAGTGAAAGTCTGCAGTGCAACGGGGTGAGTGTAAATAAACGATTTTATTTTAATAGTAATAAACAAGGGACAGATTTATTTTTCTAAATGTACATTTTTAATGTCAAATACATATTGTGTAATAAAATCACTATAAAATTAAAAGGAATCAATATTTTAGGTATTATTTTAAAATGACAATGTTAGTGGACAGTTGTAAACATGTTCAACAAATTTATAGAGACTCAAAAAACAAAAATGTTTCTATAAATTTCCCTTCACCACTTTCGCCTACAAACTGACAACTGCCGCAATTAAAGTTGCCTAATTATGTAATAATTATCGTGAAACGGAATTAAAAAATATTCACAGGGAAGTGACTTACTGTCAAAGTAAACCTTTCAATTTTAGAAAAAAATAATTTAAAGTTTATATTTCCGCACAAAGAACACAGCGGGTCCTTACTTTGGATATTTCGATCGAATCCATGGTATAATTACAGAAGGTAATCTCATTTAAAAAATTAATAATGGCAACTCTTTTTAATTTGGAAAATAAATTCCATAAAATTTTACTCATGTCGAATGGCATATTAAAATATATATATATATATATATATATATATATATACGTTCTGTTAATAAATATCTCAATTTCTATAACCTCCACCATAGCATGAAGGGTATATTAATTTTGTCATTCCGTTTGTAACTCGTCGAAATATTCATTTCCGACCCTATACAGTATATATATTCTTGATCAGGGTAAAATTCTAAGACGATATAACCATGTCCGTACGTCTTTTGTAATCACGCTATCTTCTGAAAATTTGCATAGCTTTGTCTTTTGTCTGCAGGCAGGTCAAGTTCGAAGATGGGATTAATCGTTCCACGTTTAGGCATAGCTCCCATATAAGGGTACACCCAAATTTTCGGTATTTTGGGGTTCTAGAGCGCGTTTTACAACCGCTGAAATTTGGTACATTGGGTTCCTATTGGGTACTAAATGTCTCCACAAAAAATTATGAATATATGCCCACTTTTTCCGGTAGCCCCCATATAACGGCACCTCCTAATTTTCAGGATTTTTGGAGTTCTTCTTTTTCCACCGAAATGACTGAAATTTAGTATTTTGAGTTCTTAATAGGTACCAAATCTCTCCACAAAATGTTATGAGTATAGGTCCATTTTTTCGGATAGCCTCCAAATTTCGGTATTTTTGGGTTCTTGAGCGCGTTTTTCTACCGAATTCGCTGCTATTTGGTATTTTGTAGTCGTATATGGTAACAAATTTCCCCATAAAAAATTATTCATATTCGCCCCCTATTAGGGGTAGTCCCCAAATAACCCCCTTTTTTATATTAAAATAGTTGTCTAATTTGTTCCGCGTTTTGGATTTGGTTCTAAGAGTAAAAAGCTAGAACGTAAGGTTCGATAATGAACTATATATGAACTATAACCCGGATTTAGCCCTAGCCCCAGTGTGGGAGGTACCAGAAGGAATGGACCGATATTACCCATCTTCGAACTTGAACTAAGTTTGGATGAAATCACATTTTCTGAAACGGATTTGTTCCAAAGAAACATAGAGTCTAGAACCAATATTTCGATGAGCCATAAGGCTGAGGGTATATTTAACCATTAAAAATTTCTGAAATTTGTATTATGGTTTACATAATGAGTTTCTAGAAATGTCGGTAAAAGTCCACTTTTTGGTATTTCCTCCATATTTGCATTTCAAGTACCTGTCAGTATATCTAAGGTGGAGGAAGGGTATCTACAGTTAGGCCCGGCCGAACTTAACGCTTTTTCACTTGTTGTACTTTTCATGTAGTTTTAGTATTATCTGACACCTGCGGACTAAGAGAGACTTTTACCCTAAATATCAAGCTCACTCATTTCCTTCACAATGTATACAATTGTACCCCGCTTTGTATGAACATTTCTAAAATAACAACAATTAATAAAAAATAAAATTTCAAAAAAAAAGGAATTCAGGATTTCATCCAAAGATGATATTCTAATATTTTAACCTTGCATAAATGAAGACCACACGGACTATATAAACTCAAATATATTTGTAAATTCCCTCCAAGAATCCCCTTTTGAAAAATCAGTCATCAAAAAATTAATTTACAACAAAAAAAGGTAATTTTGATTTAATTATTGCACAAGCTAACATTTAAACCCAATTTGAAGCAAATATGGACTGTATCGGTCCACTCCTTCTAATACATCCCCAAAATGGGTAAGAAAATCATTAAAATTTATTAAAATCATCCCCACGCCTTATGTTCCTTATGTTGGCCATACAACCAAGTACAAATGGTGCAATATATGTAACGCCTAAAAGTATGCTACACAAATTGTTCACTTTTCCCTCCATCTCATGACCATTCACAATGGTACTCTAATGATCATTTGTGTGCTATGAAGTCAATTAAAAGAGGTTTAGTTGATTTTTTTCAAATTTTTTTTCTTAAAATCCGGCTTATATCGATCGGCATGAACTATTTTGCAAAGTAGCTATATAAATATATATATTTTTTTATAATTGAAATTAGCATTAGTAGTGCGAGGGCATTAAAATTCTCTACAGTTATTTCGATCTCGTCGCCTATAGACAAAAAATGCGATTAGCCCAGCCATTCTCATGTGGTGTGGAAAGGCATTGAAATTCTGGTAAAACACTTCAATCGCTAATTTAGAGCAGAATTTGTTTAGTGTGAGCTTTGCTTGTGACAACAACAATGGCAGCAACAACGACAAGAAGACACAATAGGGAGGGAGGAATACAAATATTTGCGTGACGTTTGGATTTTTTTAGCAAAAAATTAAAAAAAAAACTTCTCATTGAGAAAACCAATAGAGCGCTTAGAAATACAGGCAAGCGTTTGGGAGAGCGTAACATAATTTTTGTTTGTCAGCCAGGTAGAAAAAAAGCGTTAACAAAATTCCAACTCATTGGCAAGAAGAAGAAAATCGTAAAAAATAAAATAGAAAGAATGGGGAGCAAAAAATTGTTGTAGCCAAAAAATAAAGTACAAACAAAACAACTGGACAACGGCTAAAAAATTTCAACAAAAACAAATTCAAAGCATTCCCAGACTTACCGCGGTGGAGGAATGCTGAGAGTTGGAGGAGAGGGGTTTTTTTCAACGTTTCGATTTTAAAGAGGGGAGTTCAGGTTTTATTTTCGGGCAAAATTCATAGGAGATTTTAACAAGAACAACAACAAGAAGTGTTTTTGTTGGAGGTATAGAATTTTTTGTTGGGTAGGTAGGTTGGAGATTTTTTGCAGTCAAAAATCGGGGTATGCATAAATCCAATTTTTGTTGTTGTTGTTATTTTCAAAATACAAATTTAAGAACAGCAGCCCAAAAAATATATTTTTTTTTTCAAATTTGTTTGTTGAGTATAGGAATTTAGATTGGATGGATTTGGATACATACAAACGGAGTAGATTGAGTAGTTGGTTGATTGGTTGGTAGGTAAATTTGTTGTTGGTGAGAAATAATACACAAGAAACAAAAACAATTTGAGTATGTTGTTGAATATTGAATTTTTAAAAAATAAAACGTAAATAGTACAGAAAGAGAGAAAGAAAGAATTAAAAAAACATAAAAAATTAGAAATCCATTTTGAAATTAGACAAAAATATAGAAGAAAACAGGAATGAAAAACACATGGAACGAATAAAAAATATGGTGAACACAAGGAATGGGGTTTCTTGTTTAAAATGTTTATCTACATGATCTGCAAAGGGTCCATATAGCCCCCTTCGTGTTATATTTTTTTCCTCTGACTCACCTATTTGGATTAGTCTTGGGTCTCAATGGTGCACCCTGCTTCAACTTGGCATTGGGATATTGCGACAAATATGTCATCATTGATTGTTCATCAACATTGGGATTAACCAATTCTTCGGGTTTGATCAGTTGGCGTACATTCAACCAATCATCAGCCAGACCCATAGCTTCGGAGGCATTTTGTACGGCATCCTTGGGATCCCACATTTCCCAATCGGGACATAAACCAGGTGCACAGGCATCAACCAAAGCACCAACAGCCTTACCGCTGGTCCAATCATTGGTAAAGTTCTTAATGGGCAGATCGGGTATTTTGCCATGGATCCAATTGAGCAATCTGGAGGGAAAAGAGGGGAAGAAAAGAGAAAATTATTAATATAAGACAAAAAAACTTAATATAAGACAAAAAAACTATTGGATTTAAAAAAATGTTTTTTGAAGGCCTGGATTTTTTAACAAATACTTTTTGAAGGCGTGGATTTTTAAAAAATATATTTTTTGAAGGCGTGGATTTTTTAAAAAAATATTTTTTTAAAGCGTGGATTTTTTAAAAAAAATTTTGAAGGCGTGGATTTTTTAAAAAATATTTTTTGAAGGCTTGGATTTTTTAAAAAAATTGTTTTGAAGGGGTGGATTTTTAAAAAAATATTTTTAAAAGCGTGCATTTTTTAAAAAATATTTTTTGAAGGGGTGGATTTTTAAAAAAATATTTTTAAAAGCGTGGATTTTTTAAAAAATATTTTTTGAAGGGGTGGATTTTTAAAAAAATATTTTTAAAAGCGTGGATTTTTTAAAAAATATTTTTTGAAGGGGTGGATTTTTTTTAACAATTTTGAAGGTCTACCCTTGGATTTTTATACCCTTCACCACACTGTGGTACAGGGTATTATGTCTTTGTGCATATGTTTGTAACAGGCAAAAGGAAACGAGATAGACACATGGTTCCTTTTGAGAATATGCATAGAATCACTTTCTGAGTCGATTTATGCATGTCCGTCCGTCTGTCTGTCCATGTTAAATTGTAAACAAAGTACAGGTAGCATTTATGATCCGAATTACATAAAATTTGCCATAGGTCACTTATTTGGACCAAGGACGAACCCTATTGAAATTGGAAAAATCGGTTCAGATTTAGATATAGCTCCCATATATATTTTCGTCCGATTTAAGGTAAATGGTGCACCAAAGTCCCTATAAATAATCCGATTTGCACGAAATTTGGCACAACGTACTTAATTAAGCCTAGAATGATGTCTGCTAAGTTTCGTAAAAATCGGTTCAGATTCAGATATAGCTCCCATATATATTTTCGTCCGATTTTATGTAAATGGTTCACTAAGGTCCCTTAATATCTTTCGATTTGCACGAAATTTGGCACATCGTAATAAATTAGGTCTAGAATGATGTATGGTTAATTTCGTAAAAATCGGTTCAGATTTAGATATAGCTCCCATATATATTGTCATCCGATTTAATGTAAATGGTGCACAAAAGTCCTTTAAAATCTTCCGATGTGCACGAAATTTGGCACATCGTACTGAATTAAGCCTAGGATGACGTGTGCTAGGTTTCGTAAAAATATGTTCAGATTTAGATATAGCTCTCATATATATTTTCGTCCCATTTAAGGTGCACCAAAGTCCCTATAAATAATCCGATGGGCACAGCGTATTGAATTCAGCCTAGACTGATGTGTGAAAAGTTTCGTAAATATCGGTTCAGATTTAGATATAGCTCCCATATATATTTTCGTCCGATGTAAGGTAAATGGTGCACCAAAGTACCTATAAATAATCCGATTTGCACGAAATTTGGCACAACGTAATAAATAAGGTCTAGAATAACGTGTGTTAAGTTTCCTGAAAATCGGTTCAGATTTAGATATAGCTCCCATATATATTTTCGTCCGATTTTATGTAAATGGTGCACTAAACTCCTAATGCCGATTGTCCGGTTTAACGAAAGTTTGCAAAACGTACCAAATTGAGACTAGAATGATGTTATTACTTTTTTTTTTTTGAAGTTGGTGCAGACTTAGCTTCCATATAAATTTCGAACGGGTGCCTGATTGAGATTAAATTTTGAACAGTGTGGCATACCGAATATCGTGTATCAAGTGTGCTAAATAAATCGATTTGCATAAATTTGTCCTATTGTACGAAAACGACTCTAAATCTGCCCAAATGAAATGAAACCGTACCAAATTGAGACTAGAATGATGTTATTACTTTTTTTTTTGAAGTTGGTGCAGACTTAGCTTCCATATAAATTTCGAACGGGTGCCTGATTGAGATTAAGTTTTGAACAGTGTCGCATACCGAATAGCGTGTATCAAGTGTGCTAAATAAATCGATTTACATAAATTTGTCCTATTGTACGCAAACAACTCTAAATCTGCCCAAATGAAATGAAACTTAGCATAGGTTTCAGAATATATGTAGGGATTGGTGTCAGTCGGTTCACATATAGATAAAGATCACATATTTAAGTTCGTTCAATTTCATGTCAATATGCCTTCGAAAGGCGACGTCTATTAGGATATATACTATGTAGAATATACCAAAGAGGTGAAGGGTATAGTCGGCTCAGTCCGACTTTACTATTTTCCTTTTAAAAAATCCTCGCCTTGGTGGAATTAAAAAAAATATTTTTAAAAAATTCCACGCCTTGTTGGAACTTCAAAAAATATTTTTAAAAAAATCCTCGCCTTGTTGGAACTTCAAAAATTTTTTTTAAAAAATCCACTCCTCTATGGATCTGGGATTTTTTTTAATTCTCATTTTGCAAAAATAAGTTTTCAAATACATACCTCTGTTTGGGCGTTGGTCCCGAACCATTCAATTGCTGATCATCCTCACCCTCCCAGGCGGGCATAGAAATGGAATAGTGCAAAATCAGGGTCCATATTAGACCCAAAATCAATTTCAATTTACAATCGACAATATCCGAAGAATCTGCAAAAGAAAGGAAAGGGGATTCACAAATTAGTATAAATAAAATAACAAATAATAATTATTATTATTTAATATTATATGAATAAAAATTAGATATACATAGCTGGCCAGACCCGTTTAAACAATTAACATAATTTAATGGTTGCTTTGTTTTTGAGAAGCTAATGCTAATTAGATGAGGGGCAGGGGGAGTGTTGTTGATAATTTATGGAGTGTTATAAAAGAAAAGGGTAAAACAATTCTTGGAAAAAATAATTTAAAAAATATATCAGGTAGAGAATCTATGGACCATGAGAAGGGATTACGATTTTTTTTTGGAAAGTGTTGGAGTTGAGAAAAAAATGTAGGGCACTTCGATGAATATGATGAATATTTAAAAGACGAAGCCATGAGAAAAAATACCATAAAGTTGGAATTTGAAAATTAAAATTTTTTCCTCTCTACAAAATACGTGCAGAATGGTAGTAATCAAAAAAATTATTTTTTTTTTCGACAAGTAAACACAATTAAGCGAACAAAAAAAACAGGTTTTCAATTTGTTGGTTGATGATTCGGCAAAGAAACCGGCCAATGATAATTACAATGATCTACTACGAAACGTAAAAAACAACAACAGCAACAACACATTAACAAAAAATGTTTCAAAAAAAAAAATATTTTACAAAAGTAAAAAAATCATCAACAACCAAAAAACGTTTTTTAATATCAGACTTGGCCCAGCCGGTTTTTTGCTTCACTGGCGTTTTGTTCAAGTTCAGGGTTAAACACGGCTACTCTTTTTTTTCTTAGGCTTTGTTTTTTTTTTTGTTTCGCTTTTCAGATATCTTGTCTGTGGCATTTCATATCTGGTTATAATGCGAATTTTGACTTATGTCTTAAATCATTTTTTTTTTATTTCGAAGTTTAATGGAATGCATCAAAAGACCGGCTGATGGCTGTCCATCAATTCCAAAATGTTTTGAATTTATTTAAATTTTCTTTATAGTTTAAATTTTTTACCGTTATGATTTATTTTTCGTTTTATTCTTCATTGTTGATATTTTTTTTTGTTGGGAGAAGGGTTTTGTTTCCGAACAAAAATTATGATAATTTCTTTTTTAAACTCTTATATAATAAAAATATTTATGGTTTGTTGAACCTTAGAATCGATTTTTGGTGAAACACACACACACACACAAACCAGTAAGGCAAGTAGTAAAGTCGGACGGGGCTGACTATATAATACCCTTCACCACTTTAGGTATATTCAACAGATGAATCCTAACAGACGGCGCATTTTTAAAGGACCAATAAAATGAAATTGGATCCATAAACATATTACTCTGCAACCGATACTAAATTTTTCATTTGGTCAGATATAGAAGCTATATCTAAATCTGAACCGATTTTCAGGAAACGTAACATACATTATTTTAGACCTAATTCATTACGCTGTGCCAAATTTCGTGCAAATCGAAAGATATATAGAGACTTTGGTGCACCATTAACATTGAATCGGACGAAAATATATATAGTAGCTATATCTAAATCTGAACCGATTTTCGGGAAACTTATCACACATTATTCTATACCTAATTCATTACGCTGTGCCAAATTGGTACACCATTTACATTAAATCGGACATAGATATATATGGGAGCTATATCTAAATCTGAACCGATTTTCGGGAAACTTATCACACATTATTCTATACCTAATTCATTACGCTGTGCCAAATTTCGTGCAAATTGAAAGATATATAGGGACTTTGGTGGACCATTGACATTAAATCGGACGACAAAATCCACGCCTTCTTAATGCTTCAAAAAATATTTTTTTTAAAAATCCATGCCTTAATGGAACTAAAAATAATTCACCCCTGGAAATTAAGATGGCAACAAACATTTTTCTAATCGGAATTTTTTGTTATTAAAAAAAAAACAGCAACAACAAAAAAAATCCCTCCACGATAATCCACAGTCATGGGTAGCGATAATGAAAGTTATATTTTTTCTTCTTCGTGGCTGAAATGCAACGAAAATGAAATACTGAAAAAAAATCCCACAAAAAACTTTGCTCCCTCATCAAATCGCCTTGAAGAACTTACGGATGGATGACTACTTCATTTCATTAAAAAAAAGTGATCTAGCTTCAGACGACATCGGCTATAACTATATGTGGAGTGATGACCGCGTATCGGCAGAGCAGAGGCGAGGCGAGACGATCCAGAGTACAGTGTGATATTGTTCACGGTCTAAATACATTTAACGTGTTGTTATTGTTATTTTTGTTGTTGTTTTTTTTTTGTGTTTTTATTAAATTTAAAAACATTGTTAGTCAATTGGTCATATCATCATGACGAAAAAACTAACTGGTGGGATGGTTGGCTCGTTAGCCAGCCAAACAAATAACCCTAATAATTTCCGATCCAAATATAATTTACATAATCTAGGAGCGCTAAAAAATTAAAATAAAGTCACATAGAAAAATAATGAGTAATTAACTAAATATGTATGTACGTGTATTGTTGGTTCCGGTGTTGAAAAAAATATTTATTAATTTGAAATTAAAAAATATGTGCTAAAGTGTGAAAAAAATTATCAGCAATTTTTGTTTTTTTTTCCGAATGCATTGGAGGTTGTTTTTTTTTTCTCTTTGTAAAGAGTGCTGATGTCAACAGCACTTGACTAAGAATGTGCATTGTTTTTGTTGTTAATCAAATTGTTGATAATTTTAATAGAATTATGTAATTAGCCTAGCGCCATCAATGAAATCGGTAGTAACTGAGCTGTGGGGGAAAACAAAGAACCATTGTAGATGTGATTGATAGCAATTGTAGGCTTTATTGATAATTTAATTTGAATTTCAAAGGTTTCAATGGATTTCTAAAATATTTTTAAAGGCCTGCAGACGCGTGGATTAAAATATTTTTTTAAACCATGCAAAGGCGTGGATTTATTTAAAATATTTTTTTTTCGAAGACCTTCCGAAAACGTGGATTAATTTTTTTAATATTTTTTAAAGTTCTACAGAGGAGTGGATTTTTTTACATATTTTTCAATGACCTACAGAGTCGAGTATTTTTTGAATATTTTTTTTTCAAAAACTTTTTTAAAGATCTACAGAGGTCCTTTAGATTTCCGTAGCCTTTATGATACTTAAAAAAAAATATATATATATTTTTTAAAATCCACTCATTTATGAAACTTCAAAAATTCTCGACTTTATGGAACATCAAAAATATTTTTAAGAAATCCACACGGTAAATTTCCATAAAAAATCTTGTGGATTTTTATATTTCCCATAACAAAATATGTAAAACGCACTATTTTCTATAGAGAACGGTTGTGAATTGTAATATAGAATAGAAAACAATGTGGAATTTAATATTTTGTATAGAAAATATTGTGGAAGATGATATTTCCTGTAGAAAACGTTGTGGATCGTAATATTTTCTATTGAAAATAATTCTTTCTTAAGAAAATCTTGTGGACCATAATATTATTCATACGAAATATTTTGGAACGTATAATTTTTCTTAAAAAAATATTGAGGAACTTATAAAAAATCGAGTGAATGGTATTATTTATGGAAACTATTGTGGAACTTCATACTTTTAATGACCGACATAGTGGAACGTTTTTCAAAAATATTGTGGAACATAGAACTTTCTTTTAAAAGTCTTGTGGATCGTGGATATTTTTTAAAGGAATTGTTATGGAACCTATAGAAATAATGTGGAACGTAATTTTTTTTAGATGAAAAATATTGTGGAATTTAATATTTTCCTAAAGAAAAATCTTGAGGAAAATGTTATTTTCTAAAGAAAATATTGTTGGTCTTAATGGAAAAATATTGTGTGTAATGTTTTCTTTAGAAAATGTTGTGGAACGTAATTTTTTGTTAAAAACATGTTGTGGAACCCAAACTTTTCCCAACAAAATTTTGAGGAATTTATAGAATATCGTGTGGACCGTAATATTTGCTATATTCAATGTTGTTGATTGCAATTCTTTTCACTAAAAATATTGTGGAACGAATATTTTCCACAAAAATGTTGTGGAACGTAATATTTGCTATCGACAATGTTCTGAGTCGCAATATTCTCTAAAAAAAATTGAGGATTTCGATACTAAATTTTGTGGATGGAATATTTTTCTAGAAAATATTTTTTCTAGCAAATGTGTCGGATAAGTAAATTTATCGTTGAAAATGTTGAGGGTACAAATAATTTCGGATAAAAATATTTTCAATATAAGAAACTGCGGATAATCGTATTGTTTATAGAGAATGGTTGCGGCAAGAATAGCCGCTATAAAAAATGTTGCAAATAAAAATATTTTTCTTAGAATGTTGCGGATAATGAGATTTTTGCAAAGAAAAGAAAATAGATTTTTTCAAAGAAGATCTTGCGTTGTTATCCGCAAGAAAATGTTCCTATAGAAAATGTTACGGATAAAAATATCTTCAATAGGAAATGGTGCGGATAAAAATGTTGCAGATAATAAGATTTCCTATAGAAAAGTTTGCGGATAAAGTTATTACGGAGTGGATAATAATATTTTCCATTGAAAATGTAATGGTTAAAAATATTTTTTCTGTAGAAAATGTTGAGGATTGAACATATTTTTTTTTGAAGAAAATGTTACCGATAATAACTAAAATGTTGCGGATAAAAATATTTTTCATAGAAAATGTGGCGGATACAAATATTTTCAATAGAAAAGTTGCGGATAAAAAGATTTCTTATAGAAAAGATTTCTATAGGAAATGGATTAGCAAATTTTGCGGATAATTGAATTTTTTTTATAAATGATTGCGAATTCGATATTTATTATAGAAAATCATACGGATAATAATATTTTCCATAGCAAGTTTTTTTGTTTGATGTATTTCTATAGTTTTCCCATCACATTTTCCAAAACAAATGTTCAATGTTTACACATTTTTTTTTATAAATTAAATTAGTAAATAAATTTGGTATTCATTAGCAAATATTTCCCAGGAGAAAATTGTTATAA